GAGGAATCAAGTATAACAAACCTGGGCAATTAGAAGAATGGTAGTGCCTTCCCTTCAACAGAAATTTAAAAGATGCAGGATGGGGAGGAAATTAATGAGTTATGTTTTAAACATTTTGAGTTCAAGGTGCCTCTGGGCCATCCAGTTTTACATGCCCAATAAGCAGCTAGTAATATGGGACTGAAACTCAGGGGAGTGTCAGGGACTGGATATATAAATCTGTGAATCATCTGCACAGTGATAATTAAACCCAGGAGAGCAGATGAAGTTATCAAAAGAAAAAAGATAAGGAAGCCTAGGAGAGAGCCTTGGAGAACACTCTTAAGCAGGGGGTATGACATGGATGAGGAGCCAACAAAGTAGACTGAGAAGAATATAAATTACCATTTGAAAATATACTGATAATGTGATTAAAATAAATTCCTCTGAGCAAACTAAAATATTAAAGAGATTTCACCCTAAATAAAAAACTGGTGTCAATTCTAAGAGGTGTGATAAATGATTTAGGTATTAACATTTTGGAGGAAAAAATTACAGAACTCAATAGAGTACACTGTCTTCAACCTTTGGTCTGGTTCATCAACTTTGTCCTTTCATAGATCACAGGGCAACTAAGTGCATCTAGGGGTGGAAAATTCAATCTTTTACATCCAGGTTCAAACCTAACATGTCCATTTATCCATCTGTGCTGGGGTATCTCAGTATTTATTTGGCTAGAATTAACACAAGCTAGGATTAGGATTGGGAATAGAAGGAGAGGGGGAAAAAGTAGAGTTACTGTCTTTACATCTGTAAACATGGAACATCATGTTCCTCATGTGTGATACGACTGTGCTACCCCAATTCTTTGCTTATGCTATGAAGTAAAAGATATAGACTAGTCATTTGGAATGGTATACCTTTTATGGCTCATCAAAAGGCCAGAAAAGCAAATTAAATTACTTAAATTCACAGATGTCAAAACTGCTGCCAAAGGACTGGGGAACCAGTTTATAATTTAACTGGGAAATGTTTAACAAAACAAATAAAAATATAACACAGCACAGATAATGTTACATCACGGTTTTCTAAGTCAATGTGCAGTCATGGGAATCCTTTCTACTTGAATTTAATACCACTAAGAGTCTAAATTCATTTTAATGTATAAACAGGGATGAATCCACCACCTGTGATTGCTGAGGCAGATGAGGAATTTTTAGCACTAAAAGAATGTAGATCAAGAACAAACTACGCATGGGGAATTCAACTCCAAGACAGAATGTATCTATTTCATCTTGAATCCTAATTCAGTCTGGAAATAAGATCAGGATTAGCATAAACTGTGATTCAAAAGTTAAGGATTAATGTGGAAAAAGACCCAACAGTACTTGAAACTTCTTGGTTCTATCACCTGTAAACCTGGTATTCGGTGCTTTTTAAGTTCAACTCTTTCAGGAAGGACATTGATAAACTGGAGAATATCCAAGAGGCTTGTTCAGAATAATAAAAACTTCAAGACAAGGATACAGAATCTTTTTAAGGAATAAGGGTGTTCTGCCCATGAAAAGAAAAGCAGATTCAGGTGGACATGACAGCAAGTCCTCAATTGTTTTGAGGGCTGTCAAGTGGAAGAGAAATTAGATTAAATTAAATTTCTCCTGCTTGACCCAAGAGGGCAAAACTAGAAGCAATAGTAGAAGTTCCAGACATTGGTCCAAATATAAAAAATTGAAGCTACCAGAAATGGAATGGGACTGCCCCTAGAGGGAGTGAGTTGCCCTTCATTTTGTCATCTAAGATGGATGACCATGTCCTCAATGACGCTATCCAAAGGATTCTTACACAACTGTAGGTTGGACTAGATGACCTTAAATCCCATGCAACTCCGATTCTTTTAGAAAACAACTGGAGGATTAATAATTATAAGTAAACCTGGCTTGAACAGAGACAACTGCCATGAAAAAAATCACAGGACAAAGCATAAACTTTGAAATTAGGGCCACATAAATCAAGGTATCTCCTGACTCCTAATGGTAGTATTTCTTTCGTTCTAGTGAACCTGTTTGCCTCAGTTTCCTCATTTGTAAAATGGTACTAATAAGAATACCACCTACCTCCCAGGGTTGTTGTAAGGATCAAGATAACAATTGTAAAGTGCTTGGTACAGTGCCTGGCACACAGTAAATGCTATATAAACTAAAAGCTATTATTATTATTATTATTATAGCTATTACACACATAAACATTAAAAGTTGTCATAGCTATTATAAATATAAACATAATGAACATTATTATTATTTTAGTTACTATTTTGAAGTAAATGGTAACAATCTGGGAAATGTGATGGTTAATTTACTGATTAAACTAGTAAACTCTTTTCCAGCATGGCAAGATAAATTTAATATTGAAACTACACAGATTATTGTTGAAACTTTGAGATGTTTAATGTCTTGGGGAATGGAAAATTATGATTAAGAGAATGCCAAGTAAAATATGTAATATTAATAAAATGAGAAGGAAGGAGAAGTCAGGAAAACTTCATAAATGACAAAGAAGCCTCCCTTTTCTCCCCTCCTTGACACAAACCCCTTCACAAATTGAAAAAAAGCTGTCAAATCTTAATCTACGAATCCTCTCATGCTACAGGGAATATCTTGTTATCTGTATAAGAATAATTTCCTAATTATTTGTACACAAATATTCAAAAATTCTGAACAATTTCCCTACTAATATCCCCCCAAATTTCTTGCAACCCTATTTTTAGCTTGCAAGTTACCCGTATCTCATTCCCCATACCCCCCCCCAAAAAGATTCCAAGGTCAATTGACCTGTATTGTGCCTCAAAAAGAAGAACAATATTAAAGGACAGGACTAAAGAAAAAAAGACTAACAATAAAGGGAAATGTTCAAAATGCCATAGGAGTAATTTATGTCCACATTTTGCAGTCCTCCCCCCACTTCAAGAACATAGAACAAGGTCATGGCTCTCTTAAAGTCTGAAAATCCTCCTGAGAGCCTGTTCGTATGTTTCTAGAAGAGGCAAAACTCCTAATTTGAGAACTGCTAGCAGAAGGCAAATATCTTCAGAAAGCTACTGTTTAATAATTCATTTTATCAAGTGTTTTATATATATATGTGTGTGTGTATATATATATATATGCACACATGTGTTTAAAGATACATATATACATACATATATATGTATATTATATATGTATATATATGTATATGCATATGCATGCGTGCACATACACACACACAAGAGTTTACTCGGGGATCAAAGCACAAATACTTCTAAAGCTTTCATACCCTATACTGAAATAAGTTAAATGGCTCCAACGTAACACCAACCTGAATAAGGATCTGTTGGTTGCCTTTTCAACTTCCATTGTATTATATGTACATTCTAGTTATGGGGAATATGTTCAATCCTTGGCATTGAGCTGATAACGCTACTAAAGCTAAAACTTTTGAAAGCAACCTAAGACTACAGAATAAGAACCACAATAACTGTATTGTCACATGTGTGCAAACTAGAAGGAAGAGAGGGAGTCAGATCTGAAACTTAGTTTTCTGTCTTGTTTTTTTAAAGGCAGATTTAAGGAAATTCAGGATCTTCTATTTTTCCATTCATATTGTTCATTTTGATTTCCTTTTGCTTTGTCAGTGGCTGACAGGAAAAGTTGTTTTAGTGGATATACCTTACTTCGTTTTCTCTTCCTTCTAAGCATCCAAAAGAGACAAATAAGTAAAGGAAGAGAATTAACTCTCCATTTATTTGGAGTATGATGTAGTTTCAAGACACTCCATGCCCTTGACCTATTTCTCATTCCTACTTCTTACTGCCAACATTTTGATTGCTTTACTATTAACATAAACACAGAAAGAGACATGCAAAAAAAGGTAAAATATTTTTTCATAACACTTTAATAGTTCAGGTAAAAGTTTTAAAGATAATTTGAGATAACTGACTGAAAGAAATCTTGAGGATTTGGGTACTTGTTGATGATTTCATTCCTGTTGCCCCCTCACACTAGGTTTTAACTCTTAAAAATCCTAGTCTTTACACCTTGTACACATGACCCAAATAGAAATGGTAAGGAAGGACTAATTTGGCTAATTTGGTTTTCCAGCTCTTTATTTAAGCTAGAGGAAAACAGAAGTTAATTCCTTGATGGCTTGCAAAATTCTACCCTCTTTTCTTGCCCTTTTCCCTCTACTATTTCCTCTTCCTAAATTAATAGGGGGAAAAAAAGTTAGACCCTCAGGGAAGCAAAAGGCTAGTACTACTAAGAAGCCCCAACTGTCACAGGACCCAGAAATACAGAAGTGAAAAACACATGAAGAAAGGGATGCTACCTCAGTCAGGAAGTGGTATACAGCTACATCTGTTCCTGCTAAATAATGTCTGAGGTGAGAGCATTCATGCAGCATTTTCCCAGAATCATGTCAAGCAATTTTTTAAAATGTGACAACTAAAGAGCTAACTAAATGCAAATCAAATCAAATTAATATTTATTGTTCAGCCACTTTATACAAAAGCAAAATAAATGTTTTCATATGCTTTAGCCCATACATTACCAAAAATGGAAGAGACTTAAAGAAAGGATAATTTAAAAAAAAAGGGGGGGGGGGACAAAGCATGTATGCCCTTCCCTTAAATGTTCATATTCCACTACAGTAAATAGAAAGCATAAATCCAACCTGGTAAGTTCAAAAAGAAAGTTTGGGTGATATAGCAACTTTCTCCCTTTCAAGCATATTTTTAAATTATTGATCTTAAAGGATATTAACATCCAGTTAATACACATGTGGTTCAACTCTGACCCCCTTACAAGGAAAAAAATAAATTGCTACTCTGCTGAATTTGATGCTATTGTTGTAGTCAGGAATGAAAGACTAGCTAAGTTACGTAAAATTTTAGCATGATATGATTTACAAGCAGGTAAATCTAATGTCAACCTATGTCCTCCACCTCCAAATACATTCTTCCAACAGGGAGCAAGCAAGGAACTACGTACCTGTTATTTTGTCTCTTACAAGCTTACAGGACTCTATTTCACCAATGCTCCCAAAGAGGCTTTTCAGCTCCTCTTGTGTCATGTTCTGAGGAAGGTAGTTGACTATTAAATTGGTCTTGCTGTCCTCTGTGTTCCCAGAGTCAACTGGTGATGAGCAGTTGTTGTTTATGGTGGTGGGACCATTCGCTGTGTTATTGCAAGTTGGCCCATTAGACAGTTGTGTTTCCATGGCAGCAATTACCTGCTAAAAACAGAGAAAATAAGAAATGTCAGAATTCATATTTCACCATCTATTAAAGGAGATTCCAGCCAAGAATTTAAAGACATGTCACTAAACACAAGTTGTACTGTCAAAATTACAATAAAGCCTGTATTAAACCACAACACCCACACTTTTCCCATCAGCTATGGAAATATACTTTTAACATTACACATTATTTACGACATATATATGTGCATTGCTGCGCATGCATGTAAGTACAGAACAAATAAATTCCCAAATTAAACATTCTCTATCACATTCTAGATCTATTTAGGTCCCCCTACTCACCTGGGATTTCCATGGACTTCAGGTTAAGTTTGTTATGCTTAAGCACACAGATTTGAACCCCATACTACAGATGGGTGGTATGAGGTGCTGCAAAAAACCCTTCTAGCTTAAAGAGAATTGGATGTACTCTAGAATTTTAACTTTTAAACCAGCTATAAGCTTCAAAATCAAAGTAGAAATAAATGCACATTTTTGTCAACATGTACTGTTTTGGTTACGTATTGAAGAGTTTTTGATTGACAGTATCCTGTAACTCTCCTGCCTGTGATTTGAGAGGAAGAAAAGTCACGAATGTCACATGTTAGGCAGTGGAAGAGCATCTGAATGAAAGTTTGGGAATGACTATGAAATACTGTTTCCACCTAGCCCTCTCTCTTCACCACTTGAGCTAAGGAAAAAAAAATACCACCTAACAAATCCAGCAGGCTAGTGGCAACTGGTCTACGGTAGCAAAATAAAATCTCTACACGATTAAAGCTGGCATTTTGGTTTGACACTAGTAAAACTGTGTAGTTTACACACGCACAAAAAAAAGCCACAATGAAAACAAGTCAACTTTTAAAAATGACCAGCTCAAGTAATTCTAACTTGAGCAATGCTATATAATAAGAATGTGAGTAAAAGGCAACTACAAACTTCAAATATGCTAGACAAATATCAATGCTGGCCAATAGATATCCAGACTATTAAAAATACTCTAAAAATTAATGAAGTCTAGCATTCAGAGCATCCAACCTATAACTCTTCATACAGAAGAGCAACAAACCACATTCCTAAGTTTTCCAAAAAGTCTTTAGACACCCTAAAACAAATGAATTAAATTTTTAGGGTTTTTAAAATCTGAAGCTTTATTGCAAGCATGGCCCCTCCAAATACATTCAATAAAATCTCTAGTCTCCACAGAGAAACAACCTCTAAAAAGACAAAGTTCTGAATTAGTGGGGATTTTAATTTGCAATGATATCTTAATATAAAAAAAAGAAATGGAAGTCAGGGAGGAGGCATTAGAGTAAGAGAAGGGAAGAAGAAAAGAGATAAGGAGAAGACAAAAGTAGTTTAAAATTATAGTACCTAATTTTTTTGAAGGGAATACCAATGAATACACAAAACATTCATATCCTAGGAGGCCTTAAAGGAGGCCACATGGAACAGTGGACTGGCCTAGACTCAATAATACCATAATTAAAGAGAAATTGAAACCAGGCTACTTCTGTGACATTGACAAGTCTCAGTACCTCCAAACCTTTGCTTTCTCTTCTCCAAGAAGGGAATTCTTTTATCTGTTCTACACATTTCCTTCACAGGGATGTTGAGGGTAGGAAAAAAAAAACAAATAAGAAGCACCCTAAATATGTTGGTGAGAAGGGGATACTACTACTACTACTACTACTACAACTACAACAACATCATTAAGGATGTTGTATGTTTTAGTATAAAATATAATAAATCTGAAATTTGCAAAGTTATGTTTGTCTTAAGAAATCATTATCAATACAATTTTGCAGAACAATACTGTCATTCCAAATTCCCCCTAAAATACTTTCTCTACTTACCACCCGCCTAAAAAAAAAATCTTTTTTTTAATGGGTTAAACCCCTTTCCTTTCACCTATCACAACAATGAACTTCAGAAAAAGAGTGACCAAGGTCAATTTAAAAAATAACAACAAAAACAAAAAAACAAACAAAAAAACCACCTGCTGTTCTTGTATTAGTTTATATGAAAGAACTGTGGGGCCCCAAATGTTAGATTCTGTCTAAAGCTAACTGGGACAGTGTTTAAAATATAAAGTATTCATTGATTGAAATTAGCAGGATTTAGCAAGGACAACAAACAATCCGTACTTAATTGCACAATTATTTTCATGTTCAGGTGGCAAGAATGAGATCCTAAGCCAACATTCAAGTGAACAGCTGCAGTAGGCTGTGCACACTGAAAATTACAGCATTTCTCAGCTATAGAACCATCTGCTCAGAATAAAATGATACTAATGTGCTATATTTTACAAATAATGCATATTTCATTGATAGGCTCAACACAACTGTTCACAGAATGAGAACTTGTTCAGCAGTTATTGGGCAAATGATTTTCAGCCAGAAATTTTTTTTTAAATAATTTCAACAGTTTAAACCATCAAGATTTGTCAATAACCTCAAAATTTAGTAACCAAAAAAATACATAGTGAAACAGAATGCAAGTTACTGTAACTTAGTATTCAGACCATACCAAAACTTTTTTGTTCAAAACTTTACACTCTTTGCTTTGAATCTGCACCAAAACCTAATTCAGATTACACGTTATACAAAGTGTGGTTCTAATTCTACAATTATCACCATATTAAAAATTGCAATGTGCTCAAAATCCTAAGAAAGGCCATACAAAATGGACTGAAATGTAAGAACATACATAGTATGCGCCAAATGAAAGATTCAAGTGTTTGGTATGGCCTCAGCACTACTGCAACATGCTAAAAAAAAAAAAAAAGTAGCCTACAGAATTTAAGAAAAATCCCACAGACCCCAGTCCAAGGCTCTGCTGCCCACGAACCACTTCTAAGCAGAGAAGCCACATCACACAGTCTGACTGCCATGTTAGTTTGGAGTTGCCGTCTGCAATATGGACACAAAAAGTACCGTATGTTAGATTAGCAAGATAATGCAACAAATCAATTCGTACAAATTTACAGTAATTGTATTTATATTCCCAGCACGTCCATGCAGTGTGGCTTAATTGAATTTGAGGCAATTCCAATCTAATCTTTCCAAATTCGGTTTAATGTGTACTTTTCTTGCACCAAAATAAGCATTTTAATTAAGAGCCTGATTTAAAAGTAGTATTAACTAGTTATCTTGGCATCTATCCTGACTCATTATCTTAAACAACATCTAGAGAAATATTGTGCGCTATTCTTTACATTTTTACAATGTAAAAAGGGGGAAGGTAATGTGCATGATTTAATTTTACAATGATGAAAGTGGTTGGTCATGCAGTTTTGGAAAGTTTCTCTGTAAAACATTCTTAAAAGCACTCCCACTTCTCCCCCAAATACTGAAATGGTAATTAAGAAAATAGTTATGGGAAGAAGGGGCTATATTGTTCCATTACACAACAATCTTCTTTTTGTCCTGGGACTTAAAATTAAAAGTGAACCGAAACCCTGTGAAGACATTTTGCCACTATAATCAAACTGATTTCTTTTAACAATTTCACTGAGAATTATTCACATATACCGAGAGACAGTAAAACCAGCATCTTTCAATTGGAATAACCGGACCAAAAAATAGGAATGTTTAGAGTAGTACATGAATTGGATATCAGCTTCGTCCCTGAACGCACCAAGTGATCATTTTTTAATATGTAAATTGCAAACCCAGCACGATTGAAAATTAGCACTGCTATGAGGCCTCCAATATAGTTAATGGGCCATTTACAACTTATTACAACTTTCCCAGATACTAAACAGAGCCACAATATTGACACGAAATCCCAACTCTACTCTCTGTTGGCCACCCAGCTGTTCTAAAGCAGGCCCACTTTTGACTGCTATGATTCAGAAACAATAACCTAAAACAAGGGCTTAGCCCAAAGTGCCCTACGGTAATATAAATGAAGACTACAAACTTTCTTGACATGTATTAGCACAGAATATGACTTGCCAACACATACATGTATAAACACACAAAAATACATACAATACACACATACAGAATACATATTGAAAATACATATACAATGTAAAACTATAGTGTACACGCACACACTCTCTCTCTCTCATTCACACACACACACACTCTTTTACCACTACTCAAAAATATTCTAATTTAACACTTTTTTTCTATTGAATTTTTAAACAACATAACTTTAAAACCTGTATTTCCCTGGAAACATGGGAATTTTTCTTAATATGTTTTATAAAGAAGCAGCATAGCATAGTAGATAGTTAACCTCAAAACCAGGCAGCCCTAGATTCAAGTCCTGACTGACACAAGTTGCCTGTGTGACACTGGGCAAGTCACTTAACCCTTTAATGCCCCAGACAATTCTCTGTCTCTATGTGTGTGTGTGTGTGTGTGTGTGTGTGTGTGTGTATATATATTTATATATTGTAGAGGAAAGAGGGTGGTAGGGGGAGCTTCCCCATAGGCACCTATTCTTATGTTTGATATAGGTATAAGGGATCTCATGAAGAATTTTTAACATATTCTTTTCCTTCTAAACTCACATCTTCAGAGAAATATGTCTGATCCCATGGTATGCAAAACAAATTAAATCCTGAACCTGTTAAAGGAACTGTAGAAAATACTAATTACATACATAATGTGATAAATTAAGCTTTAATTGTGTTAGGTTGCCTATTAGGCACATACTGATATCTAGAAGAGTAGAACAAAGAGATTCCAACTCCAAGCTTAATGCCACTTTGTATTTGCTTAATGTCTTATTATTTTTGAAATGTATTTACATCAACATTCCACTTGACCTTGATGAGATCCCTTTTAGGTAGACCATTCTGAAGATTAAGGAAACCAGGTCTTAGAAAAATTAACAACTATTCCAAGACCATACAGTTAGTACGAAAGTGAAAAGTGAAAGATCTAGAACTATAACTAATTCTTCCAAGTTCTCAGCCCCATCTCTTAATGCATAACATGCATAGCCTAAACACCTATGGAAGTTAAAAGTCTAATTATTTGACAGTAAGTTTCAAGGAACCATGAAATAGAATCAGATTAAATTCAGGACCCCAAATCCCATTCCAGAGGAGATAAAAACTAATGAGCTAATTTTGTCACACTTCTTTTGGAAGGGTCAGTATACATAAAAAAAAAAATAATTCCATTGCACCATATGAAGGCTGTGAAAAAAGGATTTTGCTATACTTATACATTTTATGCACACCAGACAGTCTTTCTGATCTAGCTAGACCTGTACCTTTATTGGAAGTTATAAATAAATTGCTCACATGAGTCTTACCTTTATTCTGGGCAAAAATTCTAAGGTACTGAAAATGCAAAGCTCTATCCCCTTCACTAAAGGACATGAGATTTTATTCTCCTGAATCTACCATTGGGAACTTTGCTGCATAGCTTATATATAGCTTCCTTTGGCTCTAAAATTCTTTGCAAGAAAGAACAGCTGTATTTTGAGTTTACACTTAAATGTTTTACAGAGCACTATCAATGAAAGAACTATACTCTACCTAAGAAAATAAAAATGCCCCCCAATACCTTAATAGATGGATTGCTAATTTTTATGGCAGGAAAAAAAAAAACACCTGGTAGTCAACACAAAAGTTGATATACTTTTCAAGCTTTATTAGTCCTTAGATAATAGCTACAGAATCCACCACTGGAACAGTACTTTAAGTGATTCCAGCTTCCTTATATTTACTACATGATATAGTATCAGATTAAGACTTCAGTGTCTGACTTCACCTGTGTACTGCCATTAAAGTTTTGGGGGAAAAAACTGTTGAAAAAAGTATTCCCTTTTTAAAAAAAAATTGTCAATTTTTTTGGGGAGGTGAAGGGAAAAAGGAGGGGGAACCTAGGCCTTCCACATCTTTTTATCTCCCTCAACACATTTTCACACAAAGCAGTCACCTAGACAGCCTAGGGCATTTGAATAGCACCAAAAATGGTCATTTGATAAAGAAAACAAGTGTTTTTTTGAGTAGAGGGAATGCCGATGGATGACTTTGTCCAATGAGAAAGAGAAAGATAAAAGGGCTGCATAAGTTCTGAGAGATCACCTATGTCTAAATCATTTACTTTTCACATGAGGAAGCTGCAGCCTATAAAAGTTAAATGACCCATCATAGGTATCACAGCTAGCTAAATGTTAGAACATGAACTAGGATCCCAAAATAATATACAAATATCCCTTCCACATCCCGGGGGTTAGGAGCATGGCACCCCCACAATCTGGAAAATCCCCATAAAAATTTTTGTCTCTCCCTTCATACCAGAGAAGAAGTCTGATTTTTTTTTTCCTTTTATGGGGTGTTTACAGTACCTAATTGTAAAATTTGGATTAAGTATTTGGTCATAGACTCTTGTGTCATCTGTCGCCTTCACAAAACTCCCCAAAAATTCCCATTTAATTTCTTATGACTACCTGTAATATATAGAAACCTCGATGGGGAAAGTCGTGATGTGAAAGAGATAACTGTAAGCTCTTCAAAGGAGTTGCATTTTATACCTGTAGCAACTAATAAACGTTCAATTGATGCCTTAAGATGAGTGCCTCTCCATAATTAAGAAGAGTAACTTTTAAAAAACCTGTCTATGATGCTATTACTATAATCCTGTAATTTCAGGGGGAGGGGTAACTATTACTTGGCTTCCAATATGTAGGAGCAGAGAAATACGGGACAAAGAAATATAATCCAATTAACTGTAAATGGGATGGATAAGTGCAACAGATATATCATTTGCTAAGCTTCAGATGGAAAGTTCTAGAAGCCAGACTAGGCTCTTTCCTATCTTACTCAAATGAGTAATGTAAAATATAAAGGAAATGTAAATGTAGAGTAATGTAAAATGTAAAGTAAATGCCTTCAAAAGAAAAAATCAAACTTCTTAAAAGAAAAAAAAAAGCCCACAATGAATAGGCAATTGAGTTTCAAATTCCCTAATTCTATTATAAATTACTATTCTTATAATATCATTAAATATCAAGGAAAAACAGTTGAACATTTTGAGGACTTTTTAATTTCAAAAAACCTTGTCAGTGTTCATCACTCAAGTCTTCTTTAACTTTAACCAAAATGACTGATTATACTTGGAGAAAGGAATGATACTCAAATAAATGTTCTACCAAGTCTTCATTGATTTTTTTTCAGTCTATCCTCTAATCATAGGAAAAATAAGTAAACTTTAATTTTCAGTATATTCCATCAGCTCCACAGAGATCATATTTGTAGCTAACAATGGAATTACAAAGGAAATAATTAATCTCTTGGTGTTCTAAGTTGGATATTTTTAATATTTCAAAGGCATTTCAGATCAAATTGCTCCCTAAAGAAGGAAGAAAACCAAAGTCAAAATTTGAAAAAAAAAATGGTACAATTATAACTGAAGCCTTATGTGTCAGTAATGTTATAAGACATGCATCAATAACCCATGTATTCCTGACCAGGAATCTGGTAGCGCAAAGAATGAGAATCCAAGAAAGAGATAAATGTCTTAATATCTTTAAAAAAACGAAACACCAAATCTACCAACAAAATATGTGAATCTGAATCCTCTATTCAAAGATTTAAATATTACAGGAAGTGAGAAAATAAAAAAGATACCATTTCTCTGAAAACATTCATGATAAAAATAAATAAAATTACTATCTGTCTCATGATGGTTGAAACGTGGACAAAATTATTTTACTGTGGTATTTATTTGCATTTACAAGTTCTAGCCAACTTCAATCTCACATTAGGATAGCAAAAAGTAAACCAGTAAAAAAAAAAACAAAACACTTTTCCCACCATCTCCACTCAGCCACCTTAAAGTTCAAATATTATAAAATGAATCAAAGATAAAAGTTTCTGAATTTTAAAGAACTAAACCTATGCACCTATATGTTATCCAGGTG